GCAGAAGTTAAGGTGATAACTCTTCCTCCTCCTAGAAAACTACCCTTTATTACTTTAAAAAAAAATTTTATCAAATGTGCATCACAGTTGTTCAGCAGCCCCCCTCCCGCATTGTAGCCACTAGTCACTTCTCAGTGTCTATGAGTCTAATGCTGTTTCATTCCTTCTGTTTTGCTTTGTTTTTATATTCCACAAATAAATGAAATCATATGGTATTTGTATTTCTCACCCTGTACCCTTCACTACTTTTTCCTCTCTTTATAGTGTCTTTTGATGCACAAAAGTTTTAAATTTTCAGGAATCCCACCTTGCCTATATTTTCTTTGGTTAACTGTCTATATTTCTTTTGTTACCTAACCAATGTCCAAGAAATCATTGCCAAATCTAATGTCGGGAGGCTTTTGACCAATGTTTTCTTCCAAGAGTTTTATTATTTTCAGTCTGCCATTTAGGTCTTTGATGTATTTTGAGTTCATTTTTGTATATGTGACAGGTAGACACCCAGCCTGGTTCCTTTGCGTGTGGACTTGGTCCTTCCTTCTCTGTCTGCGCAACTTTGTCTGCCTTTGGGGACGACAAAGAAATTAAAGAGTCTCTCCCAAACGTTACAAAGGTTGGTTTCTTTGGAAATACCCACAAGAAACTTGTGATTGTTTTTAATAATTAGCAATTGGGAAAAAGGTTTCCAGAAGTATTCTCAGCTCCCCAAGCCTGCACTGTCATCACCACTACAGGTGAAATGATAATTACAGCCCGAGAGGAGGTGAGGTCACAGGCTCACAAACCTTTATCTGGGTCTGCCTGCCTCCCTCCCACGTGTACTGGATGCCCTGCCCTTCACACTGAGTCCACCATCCTGGCAATGGGAAGGAGTCCAGTAAGTAAGTATTTTTTATTTCAGTCTGAGAGGCAGAGTTTGTAAGGCAATGAAGTCTGAATAAGTGCTCATGTCCGGGTGGCAACAGATCTACTGGCAAAGCCAGGCAGAGGGGGGTGAAGTAATCTTTATCCCAGAGCTGAGCCAGTAAAGAGGGGTGAGAAGACTGGAGCCACGCCAAACCCGGACAGCTGCTGGCGTCATTTGGTATCATCCTCACTAAGGACACTTACTGGTGAGCAATCCCAGTATGGACGCTGATTTTTAAGGTGCTTAAATACTGTAGTCATGAAATCAGTGTAACTGCTCACATTACCTTGCAGGAGTCACCGATTGGATTTTCAGTGTTATTAGAGGTGAGCTTCTGAGACCTGCATGCTTAAAATAAAGGAGAGGTTGGAACCGTCAGCATTACTTAAACCTGTGCAGGAGCCATGTGTCTGAATTTTCCTGGGATATAAATGTTTTTATCTAACTCTGGGCATAGGAGGCACTTAATGGAGCCATAATCTTGTCTCTAGTGAAAACATCAGTTGTCTGATGATTATGGAGAGGCTGGTTTCTCCCTTAAAGTTAGGGAAGTAGCATTTAAGGAAAAGGACACTTGATAGTCATGGGTCCCAGATGAGAGTATCAAGGACCAAATGTTCATTTCATTTCATTTTTTGCTGTGGTGGTGAGCACACACGAGCTCTCCCTTGTTAACAAATTTTACATGCATGTCCGATACAGTGTTGTTAGCACAGGCGCAGTGTTAACCAGCAGATCTCCAGGGCCTATTCAGCTTGGGGGGTTGACGCTCTGTGCCTGTCGGTTAGTCCCCGTTTTCCCTCCTCTCCATCCCTAGTAATCAGCATTCCACTCACCGTTTCCACAAGTTTGACAGTTTCAGTTTTCTCACAATAGTGGCATCATGTGATATGTCCTGTGACTGTCTTGTTCCATGTAGTCTAATGTCTTTAAGGTCCATCCATGTTGTCCCATATCGCAGGGCTTCCTTCTTTGCAGAGGCTGAGTAACACTCCGTGGTGTGGTGCACTGCATCTTTGGCCGTCATTCCGTCCACGGACTCTTAGGCTGCCTCCGTTGCTTGGCGACTGAGACTAGAGCTACAGTGACCCCTCAGTCCTGAGACACTTTCACATCCTCCTTTTTGTTCATTTGAATACATACCCCAACGTGCAATTGCTTGATCATATGATAGTTCGATTTTTAGGTTTTTTGAGGGACCCCCTGTTCTCCATCACGACTGTACCGTTTTACATTCCGTCCAACAGTACAAGTGGGTTTCAGTTCCTCCACATCTTCACCAATGATTGTTGCCATTAATTTCCTTGATAACAGCCATCCTTAGGGCTGTGAGGTGGTATCTCATTGTGGTTTTGATGTGCATGTCCCTGATGATTAGTGATGTGGAGCATCTGTTCATAAACCCCTTGGCCATTTGTGTCTCCTCTTTGGAGGAATGTGGACCAAATTTATCTTGTATTATTTTCTCTGGTTTAATACTTGTCTAGCATCAATGCCAAGCTCCCTACTCTTTTGCCTTGTGTCTCACTTGCACAGTGCACAGGTCTCACCTCATTGCTCACCAATGCCTCCGTTTAATGTAGGTATCAATAAACAGAGAAGCATTTGAATCAAAGTTACCAAGACTTAGTTTCCAGCCTATACTGTCTATCACATATCAGTATTTTATGCTTCATGGTTTAGAGAACAAAGTAATGTTGTCCAATAACTTCTGTGATAAATACCACTGTAGGTGGTTCCTGGCATGACAGCAAACGAGTCTTTCTGCTGCCAAAGTAATATTGAGCCAATCTTGCATCATTAATCTGACTTGGACTTGGGCAGTTTCCTGTGCAATTAGATGGAGATGAAGGCATCTGCCTTCTGTTAGGATCTCTACAGCTTTATTCACGTTTGATACTGACTTTTGGACTAAAATAAATCATTACATCGACATGAAAATCTGGCTTGACAGATGTTATAAAATAAAATGTAACTAATGTAAAATACATTGACAATGTAGTAAAATAAAAAACTCCATAATGGTGGGGATTGTGTAAAGGCCGAGCCGACAGGGCTTGCTAGTGTGTACAGTGGTTAGGGCCGCATGTACCAGGCAGCCGAGCCCCTGACCAGCAAGTGGATTAGACAGATCACTTCACTTCTGTACACAGATCCCCCCGAGAATGAAAATAATGGCAGAATCTGCATGAAAAAGCGAAGAGGAAACCATGAGTACAGCAATACAGGGCGGTAATTCGTCCCTGGCAAGCACTGTGTGACAGACCTGGCAAGTGGCCTGTTCCCCTGGGGGAAGGCGCCTAACCAAGTAAGACCTGAGGTGAGTACATGACAGCGAGGAGTTTCAGTTGATAGGATCGGTGTAGCCCCCACCTCCTGTCGCCTTGCAGTTTCTTCTGGCTCTGAAGGCAAACACCAGCGATGGGAACTTGCAGACTGGCCTCCGACGGCGCTGGCAGTAGGAGCTGCCTTCTAACAGACTGTGGTTAGAATCCTGGATGGGCTGTGCCTTCTCTTCCCCTCCATCTCCCTTTACGACAGGGAGAGCATATTGAGGGCCAGAGATTGGTTCTCATACATCTGATTACAGGCACCACTTGGTTATTCTATCTAAAGGTGTCCCCCAATTAATGGCCACTTTAGGTTGAAGCATTTCCTCAACCGGCTTGAGCGCAAATGTGTTTTCTGTGGTCACACAGCTGGCGGGGTGTGTCATTGGCACCCTCTGCCTCTTGAGTGTCTCCACCATCACTGTCGCCCTGGGGCTGCAGGTGGGCAGAACATGGAACAAAAGCTTCCAAGTACATTGAGTTTTCCATTGTCTTCTGCTGGATCCTGTATATGCTGGTAAGTAAAATTTTTCTTGGGCATATGACTGCCAAAAGCAGCGGCAAAAACAGCCAAGAACAAAAGGTGTAGGATCCTGCTCTGCCAAGTCTGAGGACAAAATCGCAGACTCGCTGTGTGCAGCATTGTTACTAGCCCCTGATGTTTCTTGTAGGCTCATGATCTAGGCCTGTGGCTCCCTCAGGTGTGCCCTGTACAGACACACAAGAGGTTCGAAGTACATGGCCCAGTGGGATTTCACAAACAGAACATGACTCCATATACAACATCTAGACAAGAAACAGAATGTTGTCTTCTCACTGAAACCCTCTCATGCCCCCTCTACGTCACTGCGCCCCAGGGCATAGGTGCTGTTGCATATTTTGTAGGAGAAGAATGTTGGGACATAGATTTGCGTCTGTTCTAACCTTAAAGGGATTACCTCTTGCCTGACCTGTACTTGCATAAATGGAATTTTCCAGCATGAACCCTTTCACACTGGCCTTCCCATCCCTATGACTTTGTGAGTTTATCTGCACTACTGCACGCTAGGGCTGCATTCCTTAACATCTCTGTATGGGATGCCACTGCGTGAATATCAAGGCATTAACTGATTCATTGTGCTGTGAACGGGTTTTGAATTTGGGTGTGTTGACAGTCATGGGTAGTGTTGGCCCATCATTCTGTAACCTGTCTCTTGGTGATCCCTGTACACATTTCTGTTCAGTATATTCACAGGAGCAGAATTGTTCGTTACATCTGGCCTGCTAAGGTAAATACCACATCAAGTTCAAAAATGTTTGTACCAACTTTAACACCCACCAGCAGTGTTTGAGATTCTTAGTTTATCCACATCCTTGCCCAAAAGGGGTATTTCCTGTCACTTCATTTTAACTTTCTGAGTGGCATATGATGTGGTACCAAGTAGTGGTTTAATTTGGATTTTCCTGATATCCTGAGGGCATTGAACATTTTTCACACGTTACTATCCATTGAATAATCTCTTCTGTGAAGTTTCTTTTGGTATGTTTTGCCCATTGTTTTCTGTTCTGTGGTCTCTCAGTTCTCTGTTTTATGTACAACTTGTCTCTCTTTCTCATTCCTTTGCTCTTTTTGTGTGTGTGTCTATCTTTTGAAAAGAACCAGCTCTTAATTTTAATATAACTGTTATTTCACATATATGGTTAATATATGTTTTGTGCTGTTAAGAAATATTTTCTCATTACAAGGCTGCAGAAGTATTCTTTTCTTGTTTTTCTAAAAACATTGTTATTTATCTTTAAAATTTAGGTGAGCTATACATTCAAAATCGATTTGATGTCTGATGTGGGTGGTTATTGAGGTTTTTCTGTGTTCTATTATGGCAAACTTCAGTTTATGCTGAATTTTTGTATCCTGTTTTCTTTCTTGCCATGACTTCACCCAGATAAGATCACCTCATTCTTAATGCTGACTGACTTGCCCATGAAATTTACTGGAAATTCGTTCCATCTCTTTCTCCTGTTGAAGTCTGGCAATCGCATGGGATCTCAGAAGTTAACTTGTGGTGTCAAAAATCTTCAATGAGCCTTTTTGCTCAGAAAAACATTTGTTACCATAATTTAGAGGAAAACATGTGGAATGACAGAATAGCCTCCAGGGATTTGGCAATTGGAATAATCTTCATATCTCAGACTATAGTTGGAATCCTGGGCAATTTCTCTCTTCTTTACCATTATCTTTTTCTGTACTACACTGAAGGTAGGCTGAGACCTACAGATTTGATTCTCAAGCACCTGGTTTTAGCCAATGCCTTGATCGTTCTCTCTAAAGGAGTGCCCCAGACCATGGCAGCCTTTGGGTTGAAACATTTCTTCAGTGATTCCGGATGCAGATTTCTTTTGTATGTTCAGAGAGTGGGCAGGGGCGTGTCCATCAGCACCACTTGCCTCTTGAGTGTGTTCCAGGCCGTCACGATCAGCCCCGTGAACTCTTGCTGGAAGGATCTTAAAGTTAAAGCCCCAAAGTACATTGGCTTCTCCATTTCCCTCTGCTGGATCTTGTACATATTTGTAAATTTAACTTTTCCAATGTATGTGTTGTCTCTGTCTGGCAGATGGGGGAGCAAAAATACCAGATTGAAAAAAGAATTGAGACACTGTTCCTATATAGATGATGTAGAAATCGTAGCTTCACTGTATGCAGCCTTGATAACCTTCCCAGAAATTTCGTTTACTGGGCTCATGCTCTGGGCCAGCGGCTCCATGGTGCTCATCCTGCACAGGCACAAGCAGCGGGTCCGGCACATTCACAGCACTAATGTCTCCCCCAGGTCCTCTGCCGAGTCCAGAGCCACCCAGGGCATCCTAGTCCTGGGGAGCACCTTTGTGTGTTTTCACTTCCTCTCGTCCACCTTTCATGTTTGTGTTGCTCTTTTTCACAATCCCAGTTGGTGGTTAGTGAACATGACTGCCCTAATTTCTGTGTGTTTTCCAACTCTCAGCCCCTATCTGCTCATGAGACAAGACTCTTCTAGTTCCAGGCTCTGCTTAATGTGGATAAGGAACATGAAATCCCCTCATCTTTCCAGAAACATGTAGACTCTATGTCTTTGTACAATACTCAGTTGTTTATTGAGTTGTCATGCTCGAGTGTTGATACAGATCTGGGAACAGCCACACGTCTTTGTGACATAGACCCTGACGGGTGGCAGCATTTCCCCAGCTGGGTCGAATGGGGCATGCACGGGCATAGCTGGGGGAAGGACACAGCCTGGCCTGGGTCTGCCGCCTGGTACCCTGGGGACAGTTGTCCTCATCAAGGGGTTACTTGAGGCAGAGTGGATGGAGTTGGTCCTAGTTCCTCATGCATCAGTCAGAGTGGTTTTGACCCAGTGGTGTACTTAGAAGAATTTGCCAGAAGTGAAGAAGGAGTGCTCAGTATTGTCATGGGATAATTCCCCTTGGGTTTCTCTTTATGTACCTGTCTTATTGGCAGGTTCATGGAAAACTTTTGCTCGGGACTGTTTTTCATAGGCCGTTTTTCACTGTTTGTATAACAAAGAAGTGCCTTGAAAGAGAATGTCATCGTTCAGGACAGTAGACAGTTGAATTTGCTGTACAAGAAAATAAGGGAAAAGGATTTCAGCGATCTGGGCAGTTTAGCCTGAAAAGTAGTCCACTGGTCCTCAGCCAACATACAGTAGAGTCCTGAGACCTAGTGAATTGGAAAATCCTCTAAGGTTCACAGGGTTTCTGGGTTATCCAAGAGCTCCAGCCACCATGCCATGTCCTACCCTCCAGAAATGCTGGTTGCCAGTGAATTAGGAAAGTCATTGCTTAAAAACTGTCGTACTGGTGAGGTTAAGCTAAAACTGGAGGCAGAGGCTGCTTCAATGTTTTCCCGCAGTGACCTTGCTTCATTCAGATGGCTCCTCTCTCATTCCTGGGGATGGGCCCACCTGAGCCCGGGCTGGGCACCCGGGGCTGGTTCCCTCCTGGGCTCTCTGTCTGCTGTCTGCGTGGGGCAGGTTCCAGCAGCAACATCCTCCCAGACTGGGGACCTGGGACCCCATGGAAAGGAGCGGTCAGAGGTAACACTCAGGCGTCCCGGCATGGAAAAGGCAGACCCTCTCCTGTGCATCAGGCCTTGAGGGCTGCCCGAACAGCACCCAGTACTCTGAGCGGCTGAACCAACAGACTTTATTTTTTTCACAGTTCTGGAGGCTAGAAGTCTGACATGGAGGTTCAGCAGGTTTGGCTTCCTGTGAATCGCCTCCTCAGCTTGTGGGCAGCCACCCTCTCACTGTGTCCTCTTGACACATCGTGTGTTTTCTGTGTGTGCATAGGTCTGTGCTTCTCTGTGTCTCCAAATTTCCTCTTATAATGACACCAGTCACAGTAGATCAGGACCCACCATACTGGCCTCATTTCAACTTAGTCCCCCCCTTAAAGGCCCTTTCCAAAATATAGTTGCCTTCTGAGATACTGGGATTAAGACATTCAGCCTATCAATTTGGGGTAACAGGGTTCAGCCCACAGCAGACAGCTCTCTGGGTCCCCCAAATCCATGTCCTCATCACGGGCAGAATGCCAATTCCCCCCATCCCAAGAGCCCAAGACACACGCTAATCAGCTCTAGATCTGTAATCTTATCTGCACATCTTCTAAGGCTGGGATGGTTGAGNTGTTTGTTTGTCTGAGTAGTAGCCATCCTAATGGTTGTGAGGTGTGGTGTTTCATTGTGGTTTTGATGTGCATGTTCCTGATGAATCATGGTGTTGTGCATCTTGTTATGGGCTTGTTTACCATCTGGATATCTTCTTTGGAGAAATGTCTGTTCAGTTCCTTTGCCAATTTTTGAATTGGGTTGTTTGTTTTTGTTGAGTTTTAAGAGAACTTTATATATTCTGTATATAATCCTTTAACAGATAATAGGAATTGCGAGTATTTTCTCCCGTTCTGCAGAAGTTAAGGTGATAACTCTTCCTCCTCCTAGAAAACTACCCTTTATTACTTTAAAAAAAAATTTTATCAAATGTGCATCACAGTTGTTCAGCAGCCCCCCTCCCGCATTGTAGCCACTAGTCACTTCTCAGTGTCTATGAGTCTAATGCTGTTTCATTCCTTCTGTTTTGCTTTGTTTTTATATTCCACAAATAAATGAAATCATATGGTATTTGTATTTCTCACCCTGTACCCTTCACTACTTTTTCCTCTCTTTATAGTGTCTTTTGATGCACAAAAGTTTTAAATTTTCAGGAATCCCACCTTGCCTATATTTTCTTTGGTTAACTGTCTATATTTCTTTTGTTACCTAACCAATGTCCAAGAAATCATTGCCAAATCTAATGTCGGGAGGCTTTTGACCAATGTTTTCTTCCAAGAGTTTTATTATTTTCAGTCTGCCATTTAGGTCTTTGATGTATTTTGAGTTCATTTTTGTATATGTGACAGGTAGACACCCAGCCTGGTTCCTTTGCGTGTGGACTTGGTCCTTCCTTCTCTGTCTGCGCAACTTTGTCTGCCTTTGGGGACGACAAAGAAATTAAAGAGTCTCTCCCAAACGTTACAAAGGTTGGTTTCTTTGGAAATACCCACAAGAAACTTGTGATTGTTTTTAATAATTAGCAATTGGGAAAAAGGTTTCCAGAAGTATTCTCAGCTCCCCAAGCCTGCACTGTCATCACCACTACAGGTGAAATGATAATTACAGCCCGAGAGGAGGTGAGGTCACAGGCTCACAAACCTTTATCTGGGTCTGCCTGCCTCCCTCCCACGTGTACTGGATGCCCTGCCCTTCACACTGAGTCCACCATCCTGGCAATGGGAAGGAGTCCAGTAAGTAAGTATTTTTTATTTCAGTCTGAGAGGCAGAGTTTGTAAGGCAATGAAGTCTGAATAAGTGCTCATGTCCGGGTGGCAACAGATCTACTGGCAAAGCCAGGCAGAGGGGGGTGAAGTAATCTTTATCCCAGAGCTGAGCCAGTAAAGAGGGGTGAGAAGACTGGAGCCACGCCAAACCCGGACAGCTGCTGGCGTCATTTGGTATCATCCTCACTAAGGACACTTACTGGTGAGCAATCCCAGTATGGACGCTGATTTTTAAGGTGCTTAAATACTGTAGTCATGAAATCAGTGTAACTGCTCACATTACCTTGCAGGAGTCACCGATTGGATTTTCAGTGTTATTAGAGGTGAGCTTCTGAGACCTGCATGCTTAAAATAAAGGAGAGGTTGGAACCGTCAGCATTACTTAAACCTGTGCAGGAGCCATGTGTCTGAATTTTCCTGGGATATAAATGTTTTTATCTAACTCTGGGCATAGGAGGCACTTAATGGAGCCATAATCTTGTCTCTAGTGAAAACATCAGTTGTCTGATGATTATGGAGAGGCTGGTTTCTCCCTTAAAGTTAGGGAAGTAGCATTTAAGGAAAAGGACACTTGATAGTCATGGGTCCCAGATGAGAGTATCAAGGACCAAATGTTCATTTCATTTCATTTTTTGCTGTGGTGGTGAGCACACACGAGCTCTCCCTTGTTAACAAATTTTACATGCATGTCCGATACAGTGTTGTTAGCACAGGCGCAGTGTTAACCAGCAGATCTCCAGGGCCTATTCAGCTTGGGGGGTTGACGCTCTGTGCCTGTCGGTTAGTCCCCGTTTTCCCTCCTCTCCATCCCTAGTAATCAGCATTCCACTCACCGTTTCCACAAGTTTGACAGTTTCAGTTTTCTCACAATAGTGGCATCATGTGATATGTCCTGTGACTGTCTTGTTCCATGTAGTCTAATGTCTTTAAGGTCCATCCATGTTGTCCCATATCGCAGGGCTTCCTTCTTTGCAGAGGCTGAGTAACACTCCGTGGTGTGGTGCACTGCATCTTTGGCCGTCATTCCGTCCACGGACTCTTAGGCTGCCTCCGTTGCTTGGCGACTGAGACTAGAGCTACAGTGACCCCTCAGTCCTGAGACACTTTCACATCCTCCTTTTTGTTCATTTGAATACATACCCCAACGTGCAATTGCTTGATCATATGATAGTTCGATTTTTAGGTTTTTTGAGGGACCCCCTGTTCTCCATCACGACTGTACCGTTTTACATTCCGTCCAACAGTACAAGTGGGTTTCAGTTCCTCCACATCTTCACCAATGATTGTTGCCATTAATTTCCTTGATAACAGCCATCCTTAGGGCTGTGAGGTGGTATCTCATTGTGGTTTTGATGTGCATGTCCCTGATGATTAGTGATGTGGAGCATCTGTTCATAAACCCCTTGGCCATTTGTGTCTCCTCTTTGGAGGAATGTGGACCAAATTTATCTTGTATTATTTTCTCTGGTTTAATACTTGTCTAGCATCAATGCCAAGCTCCCTACTCTTTTGCCTTGTGTCTCACTTGCACAGTGCACAGGTCTCACCTCATTGCTCACCAATGCCTCCGTTTAATGTAGGTATCAATAAACAGAGAAGCATTTGAATCAAAGTTACCAAGACTTAGTTTCCAGCCTATACTGTCTATCACATATCAGTATTTTATGCTTCATGGTTTAGAGAACAAAGTAATGTTGTCCAATAACTTCTGTGATAAATACCACTGTAGGTGGTTCCTGGCATGACAGCAAACGAGTCTTTCTGCTGCCAAAGTAATATTGAGCCAATCTTGCATCATTAATCTGACTTGGACTTGGGCAGTTTCCTGTGCAATTAGATGGAGATGAAGGCATCTGCCTTCTGTTAGGATCTCTACAGCTTTATTCACGTTTGATACTGACTTTTGGACTAAAATAAATCATTACATCGACATGAAAATCTGGCTTGACAGATGTTATAAAATAAAATGTAACTAATGTAAAATACATTGACAATGTAGTAAAATAAAAAACTCCATAATGGTGGGGATTGTGTAAAGGCCGAGCCGACAGGGCTTGCTAGTGTGTACAGTGGTTAGGGCCGCATGTACCAGGCAGCCGAGCCCCTGACCAGCAAGTGGATTAGACAGATCACTTCACTTCTGTACACAGATCCCCCCGAGAATGAAAATAATGGCAGAATCTGCATGAAAAAGCGAAGAGGAAACCATGAGTACAGCAATACAGGGCGGTAATTCGTCCCTGGCAAGCACTGTGTGACAGACCTGGCAAGTGGCCTGTTCCCCTGGGGGAAGGCGCCTAACCAAGTAAGACCTGAGGTGAGTACATGACAGCGAGGAGTTTCAGTTGATAGGATCGGTGTAGCCCCCACCTCCTGTCGCCTTGCAGTTTCTTCTGGCTCTGAAGGCAAACACCAGCGATGGGAACTTGCAGACTGGCCTCCGACGGCGCTGGCAGTAGGAGCTGCCTTCTAACAGACTGTGGTTAGAATCCTGGATGGGCTGTGCCTTCTCTTCCCCTCCATCTCCCTTTACGACAGGGAGAGCATATTGAGGGCCAGAGATTGGTTCTCATACATCTGATTACAGGCACCACTTGGTTATTCTATCTAAAGGTGTCCCCCAATTAATGGCCACTTTAGGTTGAAGCATTTCCTCAACCGGCTTGAGCGCAAATGTGTTTTCTGTGGTCACACAGCTGGCGGGGTGTGTCATTGGCACCCTCTGCCTCTTGAGTGTCTCCACCATCACTGTCGCCCTGGGGCTGCAGGTGGGCAGAACATGGAACAAAAGCTTCCAAGTACATTGAGTTTTCCATTGTCTTCTGCTGGATCCTGTATATGCTGGTAAGTAAAATTTTTCTTGGGCATATGACTGCCAAAAGCAGCGGCAAAAACAGCCAAGAACAAAAGGTGTAGGATCCTGCTCTGCCAAGTCTGAGGACAAAATCGCAGACTCGCTGTGTGCAGCATTGTTACTAGCCCCTGATGTTTCTTGTAGGCTCATGATCTAGGCCTGTGGCTCCCTCAGGTGTGCCCTGTACAGACACACAAGAGGTTCGAAGTACATGGCCCAGTGGGATTTCACAAACAGAACATGACTCCATATACAACATCTAGACAAGAAACAGAATGTTGTCTTCTCACTGAAACCCTCTCATGCCCCCTCTACGTCACTGCGCCCCAGGGCATAGGTGCTGTTGCATATTTTGTAGGAGAAGAATGTTGGGACATAGATTTGCGTCTGTTCTAACCTTAAAGGGATTACCTCTTGCCTGACCTGTACTTGCATAAATGGAATTTTCCAGCATGAACCCTTTCACACTGGCCTTCCCATCCCTATGACTTTGTGAGTTTATCTGCACTACTGCACGCTAGGGCTGCATTCCTTAACATCTCTGTATGGGATGCCACTGCGTGAATATCAAGGCATTAACTGATTCATTGTGCTGTGAACGGGTTTTGAATTTGGGTGTGTTGACAGTCATGGGTAGTGTTGGCCCATCATTCTGTAACCTGTCTCTTGGTGATCCCTGTACACATTTCTGTTCAGTATATTCACAGGAGCAGAATTGTTCGTTACATCTGGCCTGCTAAGGTAAATACCACATCAAGTTCAAAAATGTTTGTACCAACTTTAACACCCACCAGCAGTGTTTGAGATTCTTAGTTTATCCACATCCTTGCCCAAAAGGGGTATTTCCTGTCACTTCATTTTAACTTTCTGAGTGGCATATGATGTGGTACCAAGTAGTGGTTTAATTTGGATTTTCCTGATATCCTGAGGGCATTGAA